TCCGTGCAGAAGAAAAGTACCCTAAGTGGGAAAACCAAGCTGTCAATGTGGATATCCGTCGCAAAACGTCAAGTACATGGTGTTGGCGTGTCCACAGAAAGTAAATGGAAGAGGCGACTATCTCCGACAAACTGAATACAGGTCATTTGAAGCAATGATGAACAGCCCAGAAGATATGGCTAGAACCGCACAGTGGATACTAAATGAAGGGTGGATAAAACAGTTTAGACTTGCAGGTGAAGTCGAGGTAGCAATGTCGGATATAATAAACATATCCGGAAGGGAAAAAGACGGAATCCACACTGGCTGAACAGTGTACACTGCACTTCCTGAAGATAAATTAAACAAATTGATAGCAACATGAACGGGTATGACCAAGGGGTTTCGACCAAATTTGTCTCCTGTAAATAATGAAGATGGTTACCTGCATGGATCAATAGGGTGCCTAATCGGGTTAAATTAAATCAAATTCAAGTTCAGTATTATTAATTCATTTGGTCCCCGATTTGGGCCGAGGCCGGGCCAGGTGGTAGAATACCTGAGAGAATAGTGAAACCCCTTCGGAGCGTCCAAAGAAACTGCTTAAAACTAGTCACAGGAGCTTATAAATCGACTAGCACAAGAGTGCTGGAACACGAAACTGCCACATTACCGATAGAAATCCACCTGAAGTAACAAAGGCTCCAAAACCTTGGCCGCTCAGAAAACCTACTAGTTCAAAAGCTCATATAATCAGCCTGTAGTAATATCAAGCTGCTCAAACGAGGGAGAGACGATATTCGCGCGCCGGCAAAGACGAATTCTTCACCTTCCAGTGGTGCCGGTGTAATCGCTCAGTATGCTCTGCATATCTAGGATAGTCAATAAGAATCGCATCCGAATCAAAGTCGAAAGCAACCTCATACACATCTCCATTTGACAACTTCTCGACAATGCCTCTCTTATCATTCTCATCTGAGTCCTCAACCCATCTCTAACCACGCATCATCTCGCCTCGACGACCATTAAAGAAGTTGCTCCAATTGCATACAGGAGCTTGCTCCATTGATTTCCAGCCATCTCTCACTACATATTTACGACGCTATTAATACCCGCAAGGAGGAAATTAAGTCATAATATACAAAGTTGGGGTCTTGGTTTGTGGGGGACTGCTGCTCTAATGGGACTAAATATCTTGAGGAAGGACAGGCTGCTGAGATGTGGAGCGAGAGGAGAGAGGTCTCTTAAGACCGTGCTGGGACTGACATTTTCAAGGAGTTTTCAACTTTGGATTTTTTGTGGGCGCCAAGACCGAGATTTCGGCTAATTAGCCAGGAGGGCTTCTTTTGTCGATGAGTCAACGGCACTCCCCAACGCCCAGGACGGTATAAAAGAAGCTAGGCTAAGCTACCATACAGTAATCATGCTGTCAAGACTTTTCTGATATTTCAGCACGACCTTCGGGAAGGAGTTGGAAGGAGGCTAGAAAGCCAGAGAGTGAATTCTCTGAGGTATCCACAAGTCTATAGCGCCCAGCTGGCTGGCCTCTTCTAACGCATCAGAAGGATCACTGTGTCTTCGGATTTAGTCCTAATGTCGGTATTAGGAGAGCTCCGCACCCAGTGGTTTTTTGCGATTTTTCCCGGCTGCCATACACCTGCAAATGGCCATCGTTTCGTTGGCTGGAGAGGGGAGATAATGAAGGGCAAATAGCTCCTCTTAGTGCATGATCGAATGAGGACTTGTGAGGGGTGGTAATGTTTGAGGGGAGCTGTATGGGAGGTATAGGAGGGGATATACTACTGGTATAGGTATCCTTGGCCTATAGGCAGAGAGGACCTGCATGTCCTACATAGTCATAGACTCAGACAGGACAATAAAATGAATTAATAATTAACGACATTCGCGCCAACAACAGAAGATTGGATCTGGCAAGCTGCGTGGAAATTTGTGGGGAAGACCAGTGTAGAAAACGGTAGAAAGAGGCAGAAAAAGTCGTAGCATACCAAGGGCTAAATCCTAGAAAATTGAAGGCGGCTCCAACTACCTCGACATAAAGCTATGGCCGACCCTGAACCATAGAGAGATGTCAAGTTCTAACAGAACCGAAAGTCGGATCGATGGAAAATATGCCTCCAGGAATCGCCATTTCTACTTCACCGAAACCTGACTGGGGCCCAAAGCAGTCTAGCGATGCAAATACGAAGTGAGCACATGGGGCCCAATTCGTATTTATACAGAAGAAAAGTACTCGGAGTCTACAGTCCAAGCTGTACATATGGCTACCAATCGCAGAACCCTAAGCATATGATTATGTTCTGCCCTCGGTGGTCAAATGTAAAAGGAGAGATCTAGAGACAAGCGAAAGGTCGGTCCCACGAAGCTATGCTAAGCAATTCTGGAGATATCAAGAGGGTAACACAGTGGATCCTAAATCATGGTTGGATAGAGCAATTCCAAATGACAAAGGCGGTCGAAATGCTGCTGAGGCGAAGAAACAGGTCAAGCAATTCTTGGGGAGGTTAGAGACTATGTGGTTGGCTTACATGGATGGCAATGTAGTATAACTGCGCTTCCTGAAGAAAATGTGTGGAAACTAAAGACAACAAGCAGAAAGATGTGGGGGACTTTCAACATCAAGGTTTACTCCCGTGTAAATATTTCGGATTGTAGACACCTGCATGCACCCTTCTTTTAATCATTTAATGTGTATTCAGCTATATATAATTATGACAAATAACCGGTGCTATGTATACATGTGGGATGACTCTTTTGACGTTAGAGACACTCATACTCTGGATTTCATTTGCAAATACCACTATGAGATATGCTTGCTTACACAAACAGTCGTCCCTCCTCCGTTAGTACCCACCAAAAGGACGTTTCAAAACCTTTGGTTGTCCATGCATGCCTTCGTCATCTATGCATACCAGCGCCGCGAGAAATGTGATTGTGTTTTGCTGGATTTGAACTAGCGATCTACTGTCTCAAGTGGGACATGTGTCCAAGCTATCCAGACTCTACTTGGAAGGCCGGACAAGACAGTATACCACCGCACCATCCAACCATGGTGGTGTTTATGTGGTCGCAGCCGAAGCCTTGGCACGCACAAAGCTCAATTTGTAACAACTCCTTTGCAAAATTCGAAGTTCCACGCCCGTCGAGACTGTATCCATTCTCTAAACTATATTGAGAACTTGTCCTGATTTCTCACGTCAATTCCGAAGAACTATCTCTTAGATTTGTGCGCCACGCTTTGTTTCCTCCGTCGGATGTAAATAACGGCGTGGGCGTTTAAAAGGTGGCCAGCTTAGAACAGAGAATAGTCGAAGAGAGGTGTGGTCATTGGAATCAGGATGTACTAGCTCATACTTGTAGACTTGGTGAGGCTTAAGTAGGAATCGATTTGTTGGGAGTGAAAGATTGACATGGTGGAGTATTTTGAATCACTGCCTCGAGGGCCAACTTGTTCGATATAGTGAAATTTGACTAAAATTATCTCTGGGAAAATATTTCATTCCTAGGCTCGTAGACGACACCGCGAACGGATGTTCAGTCCTGCTCTCCCCTGCATGGGCCCATAGGGCGGCAAATCAGGATAATGAAATCAAACTCAAATTAATTCACTTTGTATTCTTCTACTTGATTTGTTTTGTTCATTAACGTGCTAGGTTACATGACTACCGTTGCACCCCTATTGAAGCTTAAGCACGAGTGGGGTTGGGCCGGATCAGGTTAACTACCGTGAAGTACAGATAAACCTCGTCCCACTTTAATGACCGGACCACCTCAGACTTCACCAATGTGTTGAATCATACCAAGTCTTACCGTCCAGAAACCCGCTGTATACACGCCGTAGCGCAATTTCCTCCTCAGCCTCGGCCACTACGCGCCCGAGCCCTTGACATCCCCATTGACTCCGAAATATGAATACCATCCAAGATCTCATCGTTGCTCTAGCCTTGCACCTTCATATCGTACCGTTGGGTTGTTTTCGTCATTGGGGATTTGTGTAATCCCCTCGGTGTATCTTCCCTCTTCTTCCTCCTTTGTACACGTCCCGTTTCCATCATGACTTTCCTCATTAGGGCGTGTGTAGGTAGGTGATCGGACGGGTATGGAGATAGGTCGCAAGTGTAGGATCGATTGAAAAATGCTTCGTCGCACGTATAAAAGGAGTTTAAGAGGTGTCGGATGTTTGAATACGACTCCCAGACAGATCTAGGCCCATTCGTGAATCGTATGTTGGTGGTGATGACTTTTTGTTCAACTTTGTTCCGGCTGTGAAATCTCTACCGACTGATTTTTCGACCAAAATATCGAGTGCAACTCCTTCAAGTCGAAAATCCATCAATTAAAATTTACCCCACCCTTTTTCGTAACTGAATCTCGGCTCTGGGATAATATTTCGCTCCCAGGTTCGTAGAGGACACCACTGACAGGTGTTCAGCCTTTGCCCTCCTATTCTTCTACTTGAGTCTATGACTATGTAAAACATGCATGTTATTTTAGTCTGCAGGCCAAGGATAAAAATGTGGTAGATTATGTAATGTGATTATGTAATAAGAGCTAGAAGTGCGTTGATCATGCATCTTCTCGCAGTAAAGAGGCAAGGTATAGATGACATGCAACCCCCACGACTTTGAACACCCAACGTACTTCTGATATCAATCTAACAGAATATCTCAGATATCTCCTTTACAGCCCCCTTACAAAAGTAGCACACTTCAGAATTCCTCATTTGATAATTGATTTCGCCGATCGTTATCATGGATCTAGACACATTCGTTCATATGGTGTCAATGACTGCTATGCCTAAAATGTGTTCGACTTGAGACCCATAAAAACGTCATGTTCCATCGTTTAGGTACCGATGAGGGGTTGTGGATCAACTACGGTGGCATTTTTTGATCGTAAGCACTATTACCTAAGCTATATACAGAAAAAATAAAGTCGACGCTCAATCTCCGTTCGAATCTCATGAAATCTTCATCTCCTAGCACAATTTACTCGCCAGAATCATGAACGGCCTTAGAGAGAAGTTTGCTCAATGCAAATTTGAAAAAAGAGTAAGTACCCACAGTCGTTATTGGCTGGTCAACAGAACTCCAAACGCTAACCTCAAGATATAGCCTGCTTTTATTTCCTATGTCACCGCAGGATTCCCAAAGCCATCGGACACTGTTGATATCCTTTTAGCCCTTGAGGCAGGCGGCTCAGGTCAGAAACCACATTTAAGCTTGACGATATAGTGAGCTGAGACCGCTATCAGACATAATCGAACTAGGCCTTGTGTTCAGAGACCCTTACGCAGATGGCCCAACAATACAAAAAGCTAATACCATTGCTATTCAAAATGGGGTAACTCTAACTTCTAGTCTTGAACTGATACGAACTGCCAGATCTAAGGGATTAAAAATACCAGTAATTTTCATGGGATATTGGAACGTACTTCTCAGTTACATGGACAAGTTCGGAGGTGAAAAGCTAATGACTGACTGTCGTGAGGCTGGAATCAACGGTTTTATCATCGTCGACCTGCCTCCAGAAGAAGCTGTGAGCTTTCGTAACTTTGCCACACAAGGAGGGTTAGTCGCTTTAATATATTTCTGTCTTCTCTAAAACTCTACTGATGGTACTCACCTAGATTATCTTACGTTCCCTTGATTGCGCCATCAACTACACCTGACCGTATAGAATTTCTCTGTAAACTTGCAGACTCTTTTGTATATGTCGTCTCACGTATGGGTGTTACTGGCGCAAATGGTAATCTGAATCCTGAGCTCCCCAAGTTTCTCGAACAGGTAAAGAAAGCGTCTGGCGGTGTTCCAACTGCTGTTGGCTTCGGTGTCAGCACCAGAGAACATTTTAAGTTTGTTGCAGAAGTTGCCGATGGGGTAGTCATTGGTAGTCAGATCATTAACATTCTTCTCAAATCGTTAGTAGGGGAGGGTCCCAAAAATGTTCAGGAATACTGTGCAGAAGTCTGTGACTTGCACTCAAGGACGAAATCAACATTCAACCAATACGAGCCACCAGCTGGTAATGCTTCTAGTCCAGACAGTATTATAAAACAGATCGAGAATTTAAATACTGAAGACCCGCTTATCCAAGCCTCGCGATTTGGCGAGTTTGGTGGTCAGTATGTACCTGAAATCCTGATAAGATGCCTTTCAGAACTAGAAACGGGATTCAATCTCATCAAGGACGACAAAAAGTTTTGGGACGAATACAAATCATATTACCCATGGATGGGAAGACCTGGTCAATTGCACAAAGCTGAAGGGCTCACTGAATACGCAGGTGGCGCCAACATCTGGTTGAAAAGAGAAGACTTGAACCATACAGGAAGTCATAAGATTAACAATGCACTTGGTCAGATCTTGCTAGCTCGAAGTTTAGGAAAGTCCGAGATCATCGCCGAAACAGGAGCTGGACAGCATGGAGTAGCTACGGCCACAGTTTGTGCGAAATTCGGTATGAAATGTACTATATACATGGGAGCAGTAAGTTAAACTTTGGATCATAAAATAAGTATTCTAACTATTTTGAAGGAAGATGTCCGACGCCAAGCTCTTAATGTCTTCCGCATCAAGCTCCTGGGTGCCGAGGTTGTTGCGGTAGAGAGTGGTTCTCGTACGCTGCGTGATGCTGTCAATGAAGCTATGCGCGCATGGGTAGAAAAATTAGACACCACGCACTATATTATTGGATCTGCCATTGGACCGCATCCCTTTCCAACAATTGTGCGCACATTTCAATCTGTTATAGGTAAAGAAACCAAGGAGCAAATGCTCGAGAAGTGTGGAAAACTACCAGACGCTGTTGTCGCTTGTGTCGGAGGTGGAAGCAATGCTTCTGGAATGTTTCATCCATTTTCCAAAGACTTGAGCGTTAAATTGCTTGGTGTGGAGGCTGGTGGTGATGGAATTGACACACCCAAGCACTCAGCGACCCTTACCGGCGGAACTAAAGGGGTCTTCCATGGTGTTCGAACTTATGTTCTTCAAGATGTTCATGGTCAGATATCTGATACCCATTCTGTCTCAGCTGGACTCGACTATCCCGGAGTAGGGCCTGAACTTGCATTTTGGAAAGATAGCGGTCGAGCGGAATTTATTGCAGCTACTGATGCAGAAGCGTTCATTGGTCTCAGACTTCTTACCGAGAAAGAGGGAATAATACCTGCACTCGAAACAAGTCATGCAATTTTTGGCGCAATTGAGTTGGCCAAAAAAATGGATAAAGACAAAAATATTGTGATATGTATCAGTGGACGTGGGGACAAGGACGTTCAAAGTATAGCAGACGAGCTGCCTACCATTGGACCGCTAATAGGCTGGGACTTGAGGTTTCAAAAGTAGATCTAAAGAAGCTCAAAATAAAAGTAATGTAGAAGTCAGTCTGACTAAAATGAAATCTCACATGAACTAAATTTCAACCTTTGTTTGTTTTGGCTATGTGTATAATAACAGTATTTTTTTAGGGAAAATTTACTTGGAATCATCATCTATGAAGTTGTTCTACGAAAATTTCATGTTATTAATTGAACTAATCTCGTCTAGAGACAGTGAGTGCTTGATGTAATATTCAATAGCACGACAGATAGCTTCTGCAAATACTAACGAATTAATTGTGAAGTCAATATAATGTTGTCGCTCCACGAGGTTGAATTGCACTAAATACAACGTCGAGCTAGTTCCGTATGCAAGAAAACTGAACAGATTGATAACAAGTGCAATGTTAGCTTCGCCAAAATCGACGCCTAGGCGCTGCCAATGACATGGGAATTTGGGTCTAGAAAAAGGCCATGATAAGGTAAAAAGAAGCTAGTAAGCTAACCGAGTTTTAGGAATAATGTCTGAATTCATCTGATTGGTCCAAAGTACAGGCCTTCACACAAAGATGTTGATCGCACTAGGGATTTGGCACCTACATCGGATAAACCTTTTGTAATGGCAGAGCATAAAGATTTCATATTTTAGGAACGCTAGTTATTTGATATACATCAGACATCACGTGATTAGGGATAATTAGGTTTACAAACGTATAGGAAGTTTACAGAAAAAAGACACAAGAAACTAACTACTATCAGGCTGAGGCCGGGCCAACAGGAAAAATACCTGAAAGGATAGTGAAACCCCTCAGAAGTATTCAAAGAAAATGCTTAAAGCTTGTTGCAGGTGCCTACAATTCTACTAGCAGCAGAGTGCTAAAGCACGAGTCGTCCGTCCTCCCTATAGAGATATACCTGAAACAAAGGAGGGTTCAGCACGCCGGACTATTAGGTAAACTCCCAGTTCAAGGAACAATCCGATCGACATGTAAGAGGATAAAGCTGCCCGCAAACGGAAGAGAAACTCCGCATGCATTGACCAAGAGCAAAGATATCGCCGAATGGACAAGAACTTGCGTAAGGGAAAAGGATAAGAGAAGGCAGTAAGAAGCTGGAAAGATAGCGGCCTTTCAGGAGTGGAAGGATGCATAGACAAGCAAGATCAGGAAACACCGCCCTGGCCGACCAGCATTAGCCGATCCAGAACATTGGAAAGCGGCAAATATATTTACTGATGAACAAACAGGCAGGGCCAAAATGAACTTCAAAGATACAACCTTAAGAATCCACCGTAATCTAACCAAGGCCCAAAGCAGTGTCGCTATTCAGCCAAGGAGCGACCATTCGGGCTCAATCTCTGTCAGTGCAGAAGAAAAGTACCCTGAGTGGGAAAACCAAGCTGTCAATGTGGATATTCGTCGCAAAACGTCAAGTACATGGTGTTGGCGTGTCCACAGAAAGCAAATGGAAGAGGCGACTTTCTCCGACAAGCTAAAGACAGGTCTTTTGAAGCAATGATGAACAGTCCTTAAGATATGGCTAGAATTACACAGTGGATACTAAACTAAGGGTGGATAAAACAGTTTCGACTTGCAGGGGAAGTCGAGGTAGCAATGTCGGATAAAGTAAATAGATCTGGAAGGGGAGAGGACGGAATCCACACGGGCTGAACAGTGTACACTGCACTTCCTGAAGGTAAACCAAATAAATCGATAGCAACATAAAAAGACAGGATCAGGGGGTTACAACCAAATTGGTTTCCTCCTTTGTAAATAATGCAGACAGTCACCTGCATGGACCCATAGGGTGCCTGATCGGGTTAATTGAAATAAAATTCAAAAATTCAAACTAACCACTATCTATCTGCTGGCTAATTTATCCTGTGCCAATAAATAGAGAAGCTCAGGGTTACGAAAAAATAAAGATTAGATGTCTGATTGTTGAGTGTCGACAGACCCAATATATTGGAAGGTAGAGAACATTCTTATCGGCTAGAAAATAGGCAGAAAAAATTACCCGCGGAAGTGCATTTACAAAGTACCACTGCAACCTTATCAGAGCCTAGAGCATTATCGCTATACAGATGAGAAATGAGCACAACCACCTCAACACTTATCTGGTCTGAACTAAGGTCCCCGGAATTGTAATTCTCACCGTGGGTATTCCTTACAAAACGTCTTACATATGATCTTGACTTGTCTTCAGTGGATAATTGGAAGGATAGAGGTGCTGCAATGGGCAAAAGATGGGTCTCTCGGACTCACAGTGAACGGCCCAGATGATGTAGAGGAAATTACAAAGTGGATACTAACTAAAGGCTGTCTTGAACAGTTCCAGCCTATAGGAGAAGTCGAGACAGCTGTGAGTAAAAAAAGCCACCGGGAAAAGGAAAGGATAGAATTCACACTGGTTGAATAGCGTCGACGCACTTCATAAAGATCTAGGAAACCATTGGACATCAAATATGAATAATGAGACTACCGAATTGGCTTTCACTGAAAATATTATATTTTTGCTGTTGGATGGGTTATGTATCACGTACGCGACAAGTAGATGTGTAGACAATTGGATGTACAATGGTTCATTGTTACTCTATTCTAATTTTCTGAGCCAACATCTAACTAATAGTGTGCGTGCGCGTCTAGCTTAAGTGAGCCAACGGATCAAGTATTCTCCAATGTTCCACCGACAGTTTTTATTGTTATTTCATTTTATTGTCTTGTCTGGGTCTATGACTATGTAGGACATGCAGGTCCTCTCTGCCTACAGGCCAAGGATACCTATACCAGTAGTATATCCCTTCCTATGCCTCCCATATAACTCCCCTCAAACAGTACCACCCCTCACTTCTTTTGTCGATGAGTCAACGGCACTCCCCAGCGCCCAGGATGGTACAAAAGAAGTTGGGCTAAGCTACTATACAGCAATCACGCTCTGTCAAGACTTTTCTGACATTTCAGCACGACCTTCGGGAAGGAGTTGGAAGGAGGCTAGAAAGGCAGAGAGTGAATTTCCCGAGGTACCCACAAGTTTGCAGCGCCCAGCTGGCCGGCCTCTTTGAACGCTTCAGAAGGATCACTGTGTCTTCGGATTTGGTCCTAATGTCGGTATTAGGAGAGCTCCGCACCCAGTGGTTTTTTGCGATTTTTCCCGGCTACCATACAACCGCAAATGGCCATCGTTTCGTTGGCTGGAGAGGGGAGATAATGAAGGGCAAATAGCTCCTCTTAGTGCATGATCGAATGAGGACTTTTGAGGGGTGGTACTGTTTGAGGGGAGCTGTATGGGAGGTATAGGAGGGGATATACTACTGGTATAGGTATCCTTGGCCTATAGGCAGAGAGGACCTGCATGTCCTACATAGTCATAGACTCAGACAGGACAATAAAATGAATTAAGTACCACACCTCACAAGTCCTCATTCGATCATACACTAAGAGGAGCCCTTAGCCCTTCATTATCTCCCCTCTCCAGCCAACTAAACAATGGCCATTTGCGGGTCCACCGACAGTTGGGTATGGGCGATAGCGACATCTACTTATATATAAATATTATTAAATTAGGAGGCCTTCTATAGCTGTATAACTGTAGAGAAGACAATAGAATTATCATAGTGGAAGGAGGTCAGATAGAATGAGAAGCGGTAGTGTGCTATTTTCAAGATAGTGACTGACAATAACTACTAAGTACAAATTTCATCCACGCGACTGATCTGCATGAGTAGCGTTATTGACGCGACTCCTAAGCTTGACCTTGACTGGCTCGGCAAGTTCCTGCACCAACCAGACACACCTTGTCATTTAACAAATATATATATTTTATTGTAAAGGTGGAGACCGACTGTGATGCAATGAACATAAAGAAGAGGATCAGTGGGCGAAGAGATGAGTATGAGACTAGCAAATATAGAAGATATATAACTATACTATGTACAAAGATGTGATTATATTATATTATATCCATAAACTCCTTAACCCTATGTGTGTGTATGTGAGAATCGTAGCCTCGCTTCAACCTTGCTACACACACCTTACATAAGGCTTAGTCACTGTTACCAATAGGTGGACTATTCTCAAAACCTGTCATTAGTGTCCCCGACGATCCTTCATCTCACACTGTAGAGTCTGCAGAGCCGAGATCGAGTAACAAAGTCCTCACTTTGATGAGGATTCCCAATCGCTTTCGCGGTCCGTATCTTCTTCATCTCTTAACACACTCCCCTATCACCATTATCATGAGACTGTCCACAATCAGGTCAGATGGTAGGGTCGGAGCCCTACTCATCACCAACCATTGATCATAGAGGAAAAGCCATCCGATGAGTTTCCGGAGCGTACCCAGCACCCGATACGGAGATGGTGGATTGGATCAAGCTGGCCTTGAACTTTACAAAGAAGGAAAATATAGATGGACTTGCGCACCTTGTATGTTCCTGTGTCTAGACCTCGCCTGGCTGGGACTGTAGGTTTTTTGAAACCTTTTCCCGCGCACGCAGTTTTCATTGCTACCATTTTTGTTTACTTTGGGTAGAAGGTTCCGTGGAAAAGATGGCCAAATTCCAAGGGTTAGTAATGAGCTGAATGGCTATTCATCAAGCGGAATATATCAGTGATCTTTCAAGTAACATAAGAGCATAGGAGCACTGTATAAGGTGTGGCCTGGGTCGGAGAGGAACTCAATGTGCTACAGTCTCTTAAGGATGGCAAAGGTAAAGTTGTAAAAATGACTGGGGTTAGATCCCTGTTCATATCGATTAGATTGGGTTATTCTTCATGCTGGCCTATGTCTAGTTCGTCGACTAGTTATGCAAGCCGGAGTACTATCCAATGACATTCCGTGAAAGTCCAAATTATGGGGATGGTTTTCAACTCTATGGGAAAAGAACAAAGGTCCTCATTTAAAATTAAAAATTAAAAAAATCAATTGATATTCTCATCAACACCTAACACATCGCATCACCCATTACCCTTATTTACAAGAATCTTCAATCGGTGCAATGGCCCCAGCTGTTGCATCGTCATCGACAAC